CTCCTTACTAAACCTATATGTAAGCGAAGCGTCCATCGTCTAACGGATAGGACAGAGGTCTTCTAAACCTCCAATATAGGTTCGATTCCTATTGGACGCAATATTAAGAGTTTATTAAAACTGTTAGTTATGAGAAAAGGTATTCTTGCATACCAAAATAGACAAAAATATATCATATGACTAAATATATGCACTTTATTTATATTTGAAAGGTCATATATTTAGTCATATAACTACTTTATCTTAAATTAACGAGCAGCAGCTCCAGATTCTTCCTGTAATAAGAAAGCTTCTGTATGTTCTTGAATAGCTTGCTTCAAAATAGCTTGTGCTTCATCTGTAAAAGTTTTCTTTTCACGAATAATTTTACCAAATTCAGGTTTATTAGTCACGATATAATGACGTAATTCAGCCAAGAATCTTCTAACTTGTGCAACTTCAATTACATCTAAATAGCCATTAACTCCAGTAAAGATAGTTGCTACTTGTTCTTCTACAGCTAAAGGTGCAGCTTGAGGCTGTTTAAGCAACTCACGTAAACGTTGTCCTCTAGCTAATTGGTTTTGAGTAGCTTTATCAAGATCAGAAGCAAATTGTGAAAAAGCTTCTAATTCTGCAAATTGAGCTAACTCTAGTTTCAATTTACCTGCAACTTGTTTCATTGCTTTAATCTGCGCTGCAGATCCTACACGAGATACTGAAATACCAACATTAATAGCAGGACGAATACCAGCATTAAATAAATCAGCTGATAAGAAAATTTGTCCGTCTGTAATAGAAATTACATTTGTTGGGATATAAGCAGAGACGTCACCAGCTTGAGTTTCAACAATAGGCAAAGCAGTCATACTACCTTCACCTAATTGATTACTTAATTTGGCAGCTCTTTCTAATAGACGAGAATGTAAGTAGAAAACGTCTCCAGGATAAGCTTCGCGTCCAGGTGGGCGTCTTAGAAGTAGAGACATTTGACGATAAGCTTGAGCTTGTTTAGACAAATCATCATATACTACTAATGTATGACGTCCTTTATACATAAAGTATTCAGCAATTGTCGCACCAGTATAAGGAGCAAGGTATTGCAAAGTAGCAGGTGAGTTAGCTGTTTCTGCTACAATTACAGTATATTCCATTGCACCACGTTCTTCGAAGGTGTTTACAACTTGAGCTACAGAAGAAGCCTTTTGTCCAATAGCTACATAGACACAGACAACATTTTGTCCTTTTTGATTTAGAATTGTATCTGTAGCTACTGCTGTTTTCCCAGTTTGACGGTCTCCAATGATCAATTCTCGTTGACCACGACCAATTGGAATCATGGCATCAATAGCAATAAGTCCTGTTTGCATTGGTTCATAAACAGAACGTCTAGAGATAATACCAGGAGCAGGAGATTCAATTAAACGATATTCAGAAGCTGGGATATCTCCTTTGCCATCAATTGGACGACCAAGTGCATTAACTACACGTCCTAGATAGCCGTCACTAACAGGAATTTGAGCGATTTTTCCAGTTGCTTTAACTGAACTACCTTCTTGGATACTCAATCCTTCTCCCATAAGTACAGCACCAACATTATCTGCCTCTAGGTTTAGAGCAATTCCAACTGTACCATCTTCAAATTCTAGTAGCTCCCCTGCCATGACTTTGTCTAGGCCATAAATACGAGCAATACCATCTCCTACTTGAAGAACAGTACCTATGTTAACAACTTTAACTTCTTGATTATATTGCTCAATCTGTTTGCGGATAATACTACTGATTTCATCAGGTCGAATATTTACCATGGACGTGGTGTGTAATCTTGAAAGTATAGCACCTATATATGTTCTTTTTTCTACTCAGCAGAATTTTCCATAGCTTTAAATAAGCCAATATGATAATCAATCATTCTAGCATGTAAATCCATATTCAAACGACTATTAATTACTTCTAAAGCTCTTTCAACTGCTAATCGAGAAACTTGTTGTCGTACTTGTACAATGGCTTTTTGTTCTTCAAAACGAATAGTCATATTTTTAGAATCTTCTAAACGTTTAGAATCCTCATCAGCAGCCTTGATTAATTCTTCTTTTTCTCTCTCAATTTGCAATATGCTATTAACACGGATTTCTTCTGCTTTTTCTTTTGCTTGTTCTAAACGAGCTCGAGCTTGATTTAGCTTTTCAGTCGCTTCTTGGTAACGTTCTTCTGCATCGCGAATGGTGCTTAATATAGTTTCTTTGCGATTATTTAAGATATTAGTTAATGAAGTAGATTGCTAATCTATGCTAATGCATTAGCTTAACTATCTCTTCCCAAACCGGACATGAATCTTCTCGATTCACCCGGCTCTCTCGTTCACCCATGTGTAATTAAAGCCCGATAAGAAACATGTATATATTCTTTTTCTTGCAACTTATAGAAAAGGCAAAAAAGACATGTTTTTTGTATCCTAAATGACTTATACACAAATGTTTGAACGTACCTTTCATTGCAAATGCGATTTCAAGGTTCTCCTGACCATTTGTTTTTGATCAGCACGGTTGTTTTCTTCGAATCACTATAAAAAATCTTAAGGTTGTCTATTTAGTATATTGTTATCAAGTGTATTTCTTGAATATATTCTGGAAGATTCTGACTGATGAATTCATTGAATGAATTCCCTTATAATCTCGATACGAGTGTTCTGTACCGAAAAAATCTCCAACAAGGTTAAGATTTGTAATTATCTTATTGAGCAAAGAAAGCTCCAGCAATACTTAGACTTCAAGCAATAGAGCCTTAACCTAGTAGATTTTTCCTCATTATAGAAAGTTAATAGTGTCTTTAACTTAATATTCAACGAAATGCTTTTGTCCATACAAAGATTCTTCTTTGTGAGTCATTCGTGAGGATCATACACTTTATAGTCAGAGTGTAGTTGGATTTTTTTCCAACCATGTCATTCAAATATTCATCCCGCACACACTCCCTTACCAAAGTAAACTAATACACCGATCACTACTGCTAAATTGATCAAATTAGTATCTAGCAAATTGGTATTGAGGCTTAGCCCCTCATTTGCCAGAGCCCAAGAATCCAACGAAGCAATCAAGTCAATTGCGCTGTTCATACCCTGTTTCTCCAATAAGGTCCATTTTCTACATAATGCTACTTATATGAGGTTTAACTAAAATGTCAGGAAATTTATATTACCTCATGATTTAAGTTCTTGGGTCTAGTACATCTTCTTATACGTATTATGTAATAGCAAATATTAGAATGAGTTTTTCAACTAGATTAATCTCCTGAATATCAGAAAAATATGTATAAAACAATATACCAAATGATGCCGATATGCATTATTTCTCATTTGTAATTTAGAGCATTCTTGTTTGAACATAGATTCTCTTATGATCAAAATGAAAAGCATACAATCGGCATCTTTCCCCCAAATAACTTGTTTTTCCCTATGCCTGTCTACTTAAAGTCAAAAATCAACTTCAGTCTTTCTATGAAACATAGTCATAGCAAAACCTATGTGCTAGACAAGCTAAAAGCTTTGTGTATAGAACTATACAAAAGGATTTGCAAATAGAAGAGCTAAAGCTACTACTAGTCCATAGATAGTCAAAGCTTCCATGAAAGCCAAACTAAGTAACAAAGTGCCTCGGATCTTACCTTCGGCTTCTGGTTGTCTTGCAATACCTTCTACAGCTTGTCCAGCAGCAGTTCCTTGTCCAATACCAGGACCAATGGAAGCTAGACCTACAGCCAACCCAGCAGCGATCACGGAAGCAGCAGAGATCAAAGGGTTCATTACTTTTCTCCTTCAAATAAGACCAAGGAGGCTGTGTATTCTACAAGTCTCCCCGTGTATGCCTAAATGTACAAACATTTTAGCAATTAGTAACTCATGATGTCTCTTGGGTGTGATAGTAGCACCAAAAAGCAATGTCAATAAACGTTTATCTTATCATACCATGTAGAACACAGTTCTACCAATTAAAGAAAAACATTTATAACTTAAACTGTCTCTAAAAAATACATAATACATATCATATAATGTATTTCTTTGCAGCTTTTGATAACAGCAACTTGAGTATTTTCTAAGATAATTAGACAATTCTCATACAGAGACAGCTAAGCTTAGAATAGGAGAATCCTATTCTAATTCTTACAAAAAATCAACTAATTATCTATATCTTTTTGTTGAAAAGATATACACAGAAGATCGTTTCTCTTGATAAAACATGATGATAATAATCATCATGAACTAAAGAAAATAGAAATAATACATTTATTTATGTGCTTGCTGTAACAGGGAAATACAAATTGTTTTTTTGATTTAGTTTCAAAAAAAATAAAGATGAACTAATTTTAGTTTCATGTTCCCTATTTTACAAATTTCTTCTAAAAGGTATTATAATCTATGTTTGCAAGTTGTCAACAATAAGAAGTTATATGTATATATTCCTTCTTCTAAGGAGATTGCAATGTTGTCAAATCCAACTTTCACTCTTTATATCAATAATTTTTTTGTATATCAGATAGAATAAATTCTATTCGAACCACAACAAATATGGGAGTAGACTACTCCCATATTTGTTTTACCAACTTGATTTAGTTACACCAGGTAATAAACAAGCATGTGCCATTTCACGCAATACATGTCTTGACAAGCCAAAGTCACGATAAACTGCTTTTGGTCTTCCTGTTACAAAACAACGACGAGTAATTCTATTAGGCGCACTATTTCGTGGCAAAGATTGCAATTCTCTATGCAATTGACATTTTTCATCAATTGATGAAACTGTCTTAATTTGTTCTTTTAATTCCTGACGACGCTCATAGTATTTAGATGCTAATCTTTCACGTTTCTTATCCCTTTCAATCATACTTTTTTTAGCCATATTGTTTATAAAAAATAAAAATAACGGAAGAAGCTTATATAGTGAATTTCAGGCTATCCCACCTCTTGAGAGGTGGGATAGCCTAAAAAACTTACTATTTTCTTAATATCTCAAAAATAGATTTTTACAAAATAGTAAGCAGTTATGATGTTGACATATCCTTAACCGAATTTACCTGAGGTAGATGCAATTAGGAAAGCAGCATAGGTAAATACATAACCTACAGAGAAATGAGCTAATCCTACTAATCTAGCTTGCACAATAGAAAGAGCTACTGGTTTATCTTTCCAACGCACAAGATTAGCTAATGGAGTACGTTCATGAGCCCAAGCTAATGTCTCGATCAATTCTTGCCAATAACCACGCCAAGAGATCAAGAACATGAAACCTGTAGCCCAAACAAGGTGTCCAAATAAGAACATCCAAGCCCATACAGACAAACTGTTCATACCGAATGGGTTGTATCCATTAATTAACTGAGATGAGTTTAACCATAGATAATCTCTAAGCCAGCCCATTAAGTAAGTAGAAGATTCATTAAATTGCGCTGCATTACCTTGCCATAAAGCTAAGTGTTTCCAATGCCAGTAGAAGGTTACCCATCCAATAGTATTTAACATCCAGAAAACAGCTAGATAAACAGCATCATAAGCAGAAATATCGCAAGTTCCACCTCTACCTGGACCGTCACAAGGGAAGCTGAATCCAAATTCCTTTTTGTCAGGCATTAATTTAGATCCACGAGCATCTAAAGCACCTTTCACAAGAATCAAGGTTGTTGTATGCAAACCTAGAGCAATTGCATGGTGTACTAAGAAATCCCCTGGGCCAATAGTCAAGAATAAAGAATTACTATTGTTATTAATAGCATCTAACCACCCTGGTAACCATAGACTTTTTCCTGCAGTAATAGTAATGCTAGAACTGGAAGAAAGTAATACATCAAATCCATATAAAGCCTTACCATGAGTAGATTGAATCCACTGAGCAAAAACAGGTTCAATTAGGATTTGTTTTTCTGGAGTACCAAAAGCCAGTACAACATCATTATGTACGTATAGACCAAGTGTATGGAAGCCCAAGAATAAGCTAGCCCAACTTAGGTGAGAAATAATAGCTTCTTTGTGTTCCAACATTCTAGCCAATACATTTCCTTTGTTTTGCTCTGGATTGTAATCTCTGATAAAGAAAATTGCACCATGAGCAAAAGCTCCTGTCATGATGAAGCCAGCAATATACTGATGGTGAGTATAAAGTGCTGCTTGAGTAGTAAAATCTTGAGCTATGAATGCATAAGAAGGTAAGGAATAGCTGTGCTGAGCTACCAAAGAAGTGATAACACCTAAACACGCTAATGCTAATCCTAATTGGAAATGAAGAGAATTATTCACTGTGTCAAATAGGCCTTGGTGACCGCCGCCCATACGACCGCTTGGAGCAATATGTGCTTCCATAATCTCTTTCATACTATGTCCAATTCCAAAGTTGGTACGATACATATGTCCAGCAACGATGAATATTACAGCAATTGCTAGATGGTGATGAGCTATATCGCTTAACCAAAGACTTTGTGTCTGTGGATGAAAACCGCCTAAGAAAGTTAAGATAGCAGTACCAGCTCCTTCTGAAGTACCAAAGATATGGCTGCTAGAATCTGGATTTTGTGCATAAACACCCCATTGGCCAGCAAAGAAAGGTGCTAAACCTTGTGGATGTGGAGCAGTAGTTAAGAAATTATCCCATCCTACATGCTGTCCTCTAGATTCAGGAATAGCTACGTGTACGATATGTCCAGCCCAAGCCAAAGAACTGGTTCCAAATAAACCAGCTAAATGGTGGTTTAAACGAGACTCAGCATTTTTGAACCAAGAAACACTAGGTTTCCACTTAGGTTGTAGATGTAACCATCCACCTACTAAAGAAACAGCAGCTAATCCTAATAGGAAAAGTGCTCCTGTGTAAAGATCTTGGTTAGAACGTAGACCTTGAGTATACCACCATTGATATACACCGGAATAGGAAATATTTACAGGACCAGAAGCGCCTCCTCGAGTATAAGCTTCTACTGCTGGTTGTCCAAAATGAGGATCCCAAATTGCATGTGCGATAGGACGAACATGCAAAGGATCTTGAGACCACGCTTCAAAATTGCCCTGCCATGCTACGTGAAACAAATTCCCAGAGGTCCACAAGAAGATAATTGCTAACTGACCAAAATGAGAAGCAAAAATCTTCTGATAAAGCCGTTCTTCGGTGATATCATCATGACTTTCGAAGTCGTGTGCAGTAGCAATTCCAAACCAAATACGGCGAGTGGTTGGGTCTTGGGATAGGCCCTGGCTAAATTTTGGAAATCTTGATGCCATAATGCTTTAAAACCCTCCTAGCCATTATCCTACTGAAATAATTCTTGCTAGGAAGAATGCCCATGTTGTGGCAATCCCACCCAGAAGGTAATGAGCTACTCCTACAGCACGCCCTTGAGTAATACTAAGAGCTCGAGGCTGGATAGCAGGAGCAACTTTAAGCTTATTATGAGCCCATAGAATGGATTCAATTAGTTCTTGCCAATAACCACGGCCACTAAACAAGAACATCAAGCTAAATGCCCATACGAAGTGAGCACCTAAGAAAACTAAACCATATGCAGATAAAGCAGATCCATAAGATTGAATTACTTGAGATGCTTGTGCCCATAAGAAATCACGCAACCATCCATTAATGGTAGTTGCACTTTGAGCAAAGTTCCCTCCAGTAATATGAGATACTCCTTGAGCATTTACAGTTCCCCATACATCTGATTGCATCTTCCAACTAAAATGGAAAATTACTACAGAAATAGAGTTATACATCCAGAATAGACCCAAGAATACATGGTCCCAAGCAGAAACTTGGCAAGTACCACCACGTCCTGGACCATCACAAGGGAAGCGGAAGCCTAAATTAGCTTTATCTGGGATTAGTCGAGAACTACGAGCAAATAATACACCCTTCAAAAGAATCAAAACAGTAACGTGAATAGTAAATGCATGAATATGGTGCACTAGGAAATCAGCTGTTCCTAATGGAATAGGAGACATTGCTACTTTCCCACCTACTGCTACTAATTCACTACCACCCCAAGTGATACTGCTAGCGGCAGCTGCATTAGGTGCTGTGAAACCAGGTGCTGCAGCGTTAGTATTTTGAACCCATTGAGCAAACACAGGCTGAAGTTGAATAGCTGTGTCAGAGAACATATCTTGAGGACGACCTAAGGCACTCATAGTATCGTTATGAATATACAAACCAAAACTATGGAATCCTAGGAAGATACATACCCAGTTAAGATGAGAAATAATTGCATCTCTATGACGTAGAACACGATCTAATAGATTGTTATACTGAGTAGTTGGATCGTAATCTCTTACCAAATAGATAGCTGCATGAGCACCAGCCCCTACAACGCAGAATCCACCAATCCACATGTGGTGTGTGAATAAGGATAACTGAGTACCATAATCAGTTGCTAAATATGGGTAAGGAGGCATAGCATACATATGATGTGCTATGATAATTGTTAAAGATCCAAAAGTAGCTAAGTTTAATGCTAATTGAGCATGCCAAGAAGTGGTCAAAATTTCATAAAGTCCTTTGTGACCTTCACCAGTCATAGGCCCTTTGTGAGCTTCTAACATTTCTTTCATGCTATGACCAATTCCCCAGTTAGTTCTATACATATGTCCTGCTACTAGGAAAAGGACTGCAATTGCTACGTGGTGGTGAACTGTATCAGTTAACCATAAACCTCCTGTAACTGGATTTAGACCGCCACGGAAAGTTAAGAAATCAGAATACTCTGCCCAGTTTAAGGTAAAGAAAGGAGTTACACCTTTCGCAAAGCTAGGATATAACTGAGCTAATAAGTCTCTGTTAAATATAAATTCGTGAGGCAAAGGAATTTCTTTAGGGTCAACTCCTGCATCTAACAATTGGTTGATAGGCAAAGATACATGAATTTGGTGTCCAGCCCAACCCAAAGATCCTAAGCCTATTAGACCGCCTAAATGGTGGTTCATCATAGATTCTGCATCTTGGAACCAAGCCAATTTAGGTGCAGCTTTATGATAATGGAACCAACCAGCGATAAACATTAAGCCTGCCATTAATAAACCACCAATTGCAGTGGAATATAACTCTAGTTCAGTAGTGATTCCAGAAGAACGCCACATTTGGAATAAACCAGAGGTAATTTGAACTCCCTGGAATCCACCACCTACGTCGCCGTTCAAAATTTCTTGACCTACAATTGGCCAAACAACTTGAGCACTAGGTTTGATGTGGGTTGGATCACTTAACCATGCTTCATAATTGGAAAAGCGTGCACCATGAAAATACATTCCGCTTAACCAAATGAATATGACAGCTAATTGACCAAAGTGTGCACTAAAAACCTTACGAGAAATTTCTTCTAGATCACTAGTGTGGCTATCAAAATCGTGAACATCAGCATGCAGGTTCCAAATCCAAGTGGTTGTAGTAGGACCTTTTGCTAACGCACGAGAGAAATGACCTGGCTTAGCCCATTTTTCAAAAGAGGTTTTTACAGGATCATTGTCTACCACAATCTTGACTTCTGGTTCCGGTGAACGAATAGTCATTGAGATTCTCCTCTCTTCAGACGAGACAAAGGAAACACCTGCCCAAAATCATGAATCAGCTTCTGAGAGGGTAATATTTTAGAATTGCTACCCACTTTATTAAGTCTGTAACTAGAACAACTATGATACAGAAGTGACCCAGGACAGACTCCTAAATATATTATGACACACATTTAAGGTGCTTAATGGACCAATACATAAATAAGTGAAAGTTAGGAATTTAACCTGTATATTTACTAGGCAAGTAATAAAAAATGCGAAGTGAAGCAAATAATGGAAACTTTGCTATATTTTATATATTTTTATTTTATATCAAACATAAAGGACATTCTGATCAATTTGTTCGCCATACAACATACAAAAAAAGAGAAAATATAGCAAACTACAACCGTGCGCAGGATTCCTGCGCACAGTTGTTATATATGCAGCTTGCCTCTAAAACAAGATTGTTTAGCCAACGAAAGGAGCTTCAACAGATGCTAAGTCTAGAGGGAAGTTGTGAGCGTTACGCTCGTGCATAACTTCCATACCTAGGTTAGCACGGTTGATGATATCAGCCAAGTGTTGATTACACGACCTTGGCTATCAACTACGGATTGGTTGAAGTTGAAACCGTTTAGGTTGAATGCCATAGTACTGATACCTAAAGCAGTAAACCAAATACCTACTACAGGCCAAGCAGCCAAGAAGAAGTGTAGAGAACGAGAGTTGTTGAAACTAGCATATTGGAAGATTAGACGTCCAAAGTAGCCGTGAGCTGCAACAATGTTGTAAGTTTCTACTTCTTGACCAAACTTGTAACCAGCGTTAGCAGATTCGTTTTCGGTGGTTTCACGGATCAAGCTGGAGGTAACCAAGGAACCATGCATTGCACTGAATAGAGAGCCGCCGAAAACACCAGCCACACCTAGCATATGGAATGGGTGCATAAGGATGTTGTGCTCAGCTTGGAATACGATCATGAAGTTGAAAGTACCAGAGATACCTAAAGGCATACCGTCAGAGAAACTTTCCTTGTCCGATTGGGTAGATTAGGAATACTGCGGGTAGCAGCTGCAACAGGAGCAGAGTATGCAACAGCGATCCAAGGACGCATACCTAGACGGAAGCTAAGTTCCCATTCACGACCCATGTAAGAAGCTACACCTAAAAGGAAGTGAAGAACGATTTAGTTGGTAAGGACCACCATTGTATAACCATTCATCAACGGAAGCAGCTTCCCAGATAGTGGTAGAAGTGCATACCGATTGCTGCAGAAGTAGGAACGATAGCACCAGAAATGATGTTGTTTCCGTATAGAAGAGAACCAGAAACAGGCTCACGGATACCATCGATATCTACTGGAGGAGCTGCGATGAAACCAATGATGAATACAGAAGTTGC